CTGGTCTCAAATTCACTGGCTCAAAGCAATACACATGCCTCAGCCTTCCCCAAGTGCTGGGATTACAGACATGAGACCACCATTGTACCCGGCCATCATTAACATATTATTTAATTATATTATAGTTATAGGTTACATGCTAATCTATTATCATCGTATAGTTTTGTAACCATTTGGAACTATTCTGTTAGCGCTTTTCTTCGCTTCATTTCATTCATTGATCCTCAAATTGTGCTACTCTTTCTCCAAGTTGATCGAGTCGGTTACTGATGAGCTTAGTGCATATTGATCATCGATATTTCTCTCGTGATATCACTGTGATTGGTATATGCATGCAATTCTATTTTATCGTTTAGATATTTCTAGTTTCTTTGCATACTCAGACCATCAATTACGTCCATGTGTTTTTTTGTTCTTCAAAGCTTTAGTTTCTTTGTGTGCGCGCCGTACGTAGAGGTTCGCGTCCAGTTTTAGTCTGAGTGTAGTGGAATGTGCTAATCTGAGATCGCGATCTCTAGACGTGCGCGGGTCTTTCTCCTCCACCTCATCATACAAGTCGGTTCTTACTAGTCGTTGGCACAGCTTCTCTTTGGTAGCTCCCTCAGGTCTCTCCCGCCTGACGCGTAAGACTGGTAAGGCTTGTCGCTCTCTACATGTGCGTCCTCCAGCGCGAGGATGTGCTCCGAGCCACTACATATGTTTATTTTGTTATAGTTATTGTATGGACTGTGTTGGTTTTGCCCTGCTTTTCTCCCATCGCATTTGTCTGCTAGGGCTGGGTCGTCTCTGTATCTGGCCTCCTCTGGCTCTCATTAGTTGTAGATGATTCATGCGCGCTCGACCGCTTTCGCTGGCCATACAATGGATGGGCTGGTTACAGGGTGTGTTTGCTCAAGTGTCGCGTCCTTCTGTGCTCTGTCGATAGATCTGTACTCCGGACTATCTATACTGCATGTACTTAGAAGACCTTTTATTTGTTTTGTTATTGTGTCTTGTTGTTGTATTGTTGCTTGAGGTCCACTCCAGACCTGTTTTCTTTTGTTTGTGTGTTGTGCAGCAGCGGGCCTGCGCAGAAGATAGAATATTGCTGAACGCGGATGCTACCTTGTCTGATTCTTGCTTTGGAAGGTTTCTTCAGGGTGTTACTCCACCCTGTGAAGGTGTGGGGTGTCAGACCTGCCCTAGTGGCGGTCTTGCTCTCAGTTGTTGTACGGCCAGTGTCCTGGAGGAGGTCAGAGGGATGCTGGCACTGTATGTCAGCTATGGCAGTCTGCTCCACCAACTCTCCGATCTTCAACCCTCTCGCAGGTTCAAGCGGATTCTCCTGCCTCTAGTTGGGCATAAGATCCTGGTGCTGTCCTAGCTTCCGAAGAGAGCTGATTAGACCGAGACAGTTCGTGTTGCTGTGTCGTCGCAGAGACGATTCTGACACTCCGTCACTGTTCTGATGACTTTTGTATTTTTTAAAATAGGAGATGTGGTTTCCAGGCCGAGCGCTGTTTTGTTGCGGTGGTATCTGTGCCTCTGTCCACCCGATAGTAATCCCAGCCAATGGTGGGAGATGCGGTAAGAGGACCGCGAGGTTTCCTTGAGACTGCTGTGAGCTCCACCCCAGTTGTGGCGCAGACGAGCGACTCGCGCATCGCCAGCGATTTGTGTATATCCGTAATGTAACGGCCTTTCATGCTATATGGGGTGGGCGCCCTCCCCAGTCTCGCTGCTGCCCTTGCCGGTAGATCACAGACTGCTGTGCTCAGCAATGAGGGAGGCTCCGTGGTGTGGGACCCTCCCGCCAGGTGGGATATGATCTCCTGGTGTGCCTGTTCGCTTAAAGCGCAGTATTGGGGTGGAGCTTACCCGATTTCCAGTGTTGTGTGGTCTCAGTTCCCCTGCTAGGAAAAGGGATTCCCTTCCCCCTTGCCGCTTCCCAGGTGAGGCAGTGCTCGCCCTGCTCAGCTCTCGCTTGGTGGCGGCTGCAGCAGCTGACCAGCAACGATCGTCCGGCACTCCCCAGTGAGATGAACCCAGTACCTCAGTTGAAAATGCAGAAATCACCGGTCTTTTGTGTCGCTCGCGCTGGGAGTTGGAGACTGGAGCTGTTCCTATTCGGCCATCTTGCTCCGCCCGATCAAAATAATTTATATGTTTCCTTATCCTCATTATCTATCTTTTTTTTTTTTTTTTGGCAAATATACTTTTAATAACATCCTCGTTTGGGACCAATTATAAAAAACCTTTACTTTTACATAGTGCATGTTTCTCAAGAAACAGTCGATCACATGAAATAAATTAAAATCCCTAAAAAATGTGGCAACATTAATCCTATATCCATTTTAAAGCATTAATATAAACTTAATAATAATGGTAGGAATGATCAAGTCCTCCTACTCATGGATTTCTTTTGAGAGCTTAATTTAAGGAGGAAACCCTCATCTCTGAAAAATTTACATAACTATGAAGAGACGTAAATTTACATGCAATTACAGAATATTCTGAAGTCTTTAAAACTTTATTTAAAAACCTTACAGTAGACCCAAAGTAGTTATACTAACTTATAGAAGAAACATCCATGTTTTTGCTGGAGTTTATATGGACCAGTGATAGGCAAGCACCTAATAGTGCAAAATTTATATCTGAAACAGCATTAGTTCCTTTCCTTCTTACTTTGGGGTCAATGTCTCGTTCATCTTGACTTTTTTAAGCAAAATCACTTATTCACCTTGGAGTTTTAAGTCATTTATTTCCAATAGCCACAGTTGTTACTGAATTTAGCAAAGCACAAATTGCCCTGTAGAAAAACTGCATGCTGTTTAAGTATTTGAACGTTAAACATTACAGGACAAACCAATTCTTGCTCCCGAACCTCTTGTCATGGATAACCTGGACTCAATTATGGAGCAGCTAAATACTTGGAATTTTCCGATTTTCGATTTAGTGGAAAATATAGGAAGAAAATGTGGCCGTATTCTTAGTCAGGTAAGAAATGCATTCATTCACACTAATTTAAATATAGGAGAAACAGTTCCTTTGTTCCTTAAAGCTCTGTAAATTCTTGACACTTGTGGATAGGTGTTGTGTGGAGAAAGGAAGTTTTAGAACACTGTAGATTCCTTGGTGGTGGGTTAACAAAAGAAACTGGAACTTCAAGTGAGTCGGATGTCATATTCTACAATTAAAATATGATTTATTTTTAAAGACAAAGTAGGCGGGGATAGAGATACATAGACAAGGGACAAATGATCTAGAATTCATAGAACTAAGCAAAAGAAAATATGACTGAAGCCCCTAAAAGAAGAAAACTACCTGTTTAGAGATACTAACTTATTGTCTGTAATTATTTTCAATGACTTTTTAAAAACTTTTGAATATTACAGCGCTTAGACCTTATCAAAGGTAATACATTGTAACAAAATGTGTTTCCTCTTAGTGCTCTGAGAAACACATCACACAGAGTTATAGAATAATACTGTTGCTGCATAACCAGCCTCTGAGTATTGTTTTCTTTAGGCTAGACTACTTTCATGGCTTTTCACATAAATAATTATTCGTTTTGCTGAAGAAGAAAGAAAACAAGTAGAAATTAAGAATTTGATAATGTTTCAAACCACAAAACAAAATGATAGATTTGCTGTACTACGGAATACCCATTGAAATACAAACCCTTAATTAATAAAGAGGATGGTGCGATAATGTGTATCAGCTTATCTTCACATGTTTTAGGTGTGTTCTTATCAATTTGAGTAAGTATCACAGCAGAGATAGTAAGGACCATCAAATTTGTGAATATCAGACTTAGGTAAGAATTCAGGACCCAACCCAGATTTATTGGGGCCACTAACACTTCTCTGCAAAACAATAGAAGAGAAATCACTGAAATGCTGATTTCTACGCAGTGCATCAGAGATGAGCTGTCTTTGGACCACTCAACACATGTCTCAATGTGGAACTTCGTTTGGGGTGAGGATCCTAATCTGTGAAGATTGAAGGGAAAAGATAGCAGGCCTTTCTTCTAGTGTTTGATTCTACAAGCACATATGGCTGTCTAGTCTGGGAGTACACTAACATTATTGATGGAATATGAGACAAAAAATTCTTACAAAGTCTGTAAAATATTCAATTTTGCCTCTGCTAGACTCTATTCTGTCCATCACCATGTTGAGGAATATAATGGCAGCCCTTGCACTTTACTAGGAGTTGAGAGTCCTGTTCTTCTTCCCTTCCTTTCTTCTCAGTGCTAAGCAACGTCTCACACTAGCTGATCTTAATGACAGATTTAAGGATAGTTGCTCTGTCCAATTCACCTTAGCCTCATACCTTACCTGGAAGACTGTGTATCTTCTTTCTGAAACCCATGGCAAACTGCAACTTTGAGGGAGTGATCTTTCCTGCAAATAAGCCTGTAATAGGGCCACAGGATGTGGCAATGAACCAAGAAGCATTTTCTCTCTTTATTTTATTTTAGTTTTTTTTTACTAGGGAATATGTTCCCTGGTATAGAGACACACATCTCATCTCATTTTATATTTGATGTATATCTCACAGACTCTCAAAAACTTAATCTTCACAGTAAATTTAGTGCAGGGTTTTTTTAAAATATGTATTTTATAGAAGAAGAAACTAAGGCTTAAAAGAGGATATGCTACTCTTCTAAAGTCATCTAGTAAATATTCAACCCAGGATTCCAAAGGAGATTTATCCATATCAGAAGCCCAGGGTTTTTACATTCCTTCAATCACTTCTCATATCTTCATAAAACACCTTGACTTATTATATGTTCAAGTTCTCCAAATGAGGATTCGGACCTAGTAGAAAAGTGGTTATGATAACAGTCGGTTTTACAGCACAAATGACAGCGTACAGAATTTCATTACGGGTACCAACCACTCCCTTGAAGTTCTGTGAGCTGGGAATGGGAGAAAACAACTTGACCAAAATTGCCACACAATGTTTTCTAAGAGTCCTGGATACCAGTAGACAATAAAAAGATTAAGGATAATTAACAATTAGATTCATGCAAAATTCAATAATGTATCTTTTGTTCCAATCATGTTCCAAAAACGGAGTAATATATTGATATATGATCCTTATTAGTCACTGTTTACTTTCCCAATTTCCTAGACATTAAACTTTGAACAAATGCAGTTTCAGATGACTTGCTCAGTAGAACTTTTTGAGATTTTTCTTTTGAGTTTACAAGAACAAAAATTATGAAATTTTGGTTATGGAAAATATGCATATATTTTTGCCATAGAACAACTTTAGGACAGTTGAAATGATTTAATGTGAACATTCCAATACATCACCTTTTGGCTGAGACTAAGTGGAAAAAGTCTAATTTCAAAAGATTTTTAAAGAGACATGTACAATGGAAGTAAGTCCTCAGTTTCAATATACAGCCTGCCTTTTGATAATTATCATTTTAACCAATTTAAAAGGACATCCTTCAGATTTTGAAAAGGCATTTAGTGTTTTCAGTTACCAATATTTACCATCGTTCTTTTTATGTCTGACACACACGTAGAGATGTTTCATGTTTCATAAGGCTTTGTCTTTTTTTTTTTTTTTTAACAGGTATCTTACAGACTTTTTGAAGACATGGGCCTCTTTGAAGCTTTTAAAATTCCAATTAGGGAATTTATGAATTATTTTCATGCTTTGGAGATTGGATACAGGGATATTCCTTGTAAGTATGCTTGATTTGTGAAATAATACTTTTAAAATATGTCCAGTTTGCTGTGGGTAAGTGGGATAGTGAATCATTAGCAGGTAGCACAGAATTACATGGTAGACACTCAATATGGAGACATCATATGGTGATTAGGAGATATCACCTGTGTTAGAATCCTGGCTCCTTTACTTTTCAGCTGTATGAGACCCTAGGGTTTACTTAAGCTCTATGTGCCTCATTTCTTAGTCCATAAAATGAGGATTATAATACCTGCTTCATATGATTGTTAGGATCAAATAAGATTATAATTTTAAAGAGGTTATTTGAGTGCCTGGCACACAGTAAGTCCAACATAAGTCCACTTTAATATGGCTATTTTTTGGAAATAAATAAATACTAAATTTATTGCTCATTTAGTAACCCATCCCTTTTATTGGGTGAATTCAACTTTTGTTGTGGCATCTGAAGAGTTAAGTCACTATATATGTTTTCTCCACATAAGATAAAGTTGGCTGGTGTTTAGAGGGACAGGAGGATGATGGTCTGATGAATAAAATAGAAGAGACATCTGGAAGTGGTTATGGAAAAATGATGAGAAACATTTTAAAAAATCAGGTAAATGGGAAGACCCAAGGGAAACACACAATCAAGAATTCAAGCTTTGAGTCTTGAGGGAATAAGTTTCCCATTTATAATAACAAGAAATTGGAACACAGAGGAGATGTTAAATTTTCATTATGTAGCATTTCAGGAATCATCAATCAGAACACGTAAGTAAAATGGTCCTACAGTGCTTCAAAATATATGGTTTGGGAGACAATGTCTATAGGCCCAAACAGGGAAACTGCAGAGATGTTCAAAAACCATGTAACACATTAAGGAAATAAATATATAGAAAGAAAAATAATCAAAAATAATATGTTGATTGGAGCATGTCTTGGAAATATGTTATTTAAATCGTATTTTAGCTTTTAAGCTTTTAAAACTTTTAAAGTTTAAAACTTTTAAGCTTAAAAGTTTTAAAAGCTTTTATATTTGCTTTTATGCACCTCAGACTTCAGAGTCCCGTAACTTTGTCATAATTGTAAAGAGCTGAAGTTACATTAAAAAATAATTAATACTGATAAAGCACAAGTATTTCCAGGAAGAGGTATCACATTAACCTAGGGATTTACTATGAGCATATTGTTTTCAAAATCCCATCCACATGCTATATTGGAATGAATATGCACCACAGATAGTGTATCATAGAAAAAAAGAATGAAGAACTGAATCTACCAATGAGATTTTCTGAAGAATATGGGACCAAAATACAGTCAGAGTAAGGCAGTTGGAGTAAGGGAAAGAGGAACTGAACAGTACCAGGGCCCCTGGGAACATCTGGCTGACAAATCCATGAAAGTTGGAAGAGAAATATGAAAAAAGGGGTAGTTGGAAAGGATCTCAAGATAAGCCTTGCTTTCGTAATACAATTTTCCCAGGGCCCACCCTGGTTGGATGCCAGTGATTGACCTAAGTGTTCACAATTTCTCAAAGGTTAAGGAGTTACATAAATAAACTTTTCTAGAAAGGAAGCCACTAAAAACACTAAACAGCTAATCACTAGACTAAATTTCCAAATTCATGTTATATTTCAAATGTATTTTAATGATACAATTAGCCATAGCAAAGTTCCACTGAGTTCAAATTAATACTAAACTCCATAGACATAAAAACTACCAACTTTTTCACAAGTAGTGTATCATTAAATCATAGTTGAAAGACGGCAAGTGTTTATGTACAAAAATAAGTTTTCAGATTCTAAGATTTATTATTCACTTTTACATTTTCTTATTACATTTTTATATGTTACAAGTAAATAGATATTTTTTTCCCTGAAAGAGTGGGTTCTTTATTCCAGGTGAAAAGAACTTGTTATAATAAACCTGCTTGTTCTATTAGAAGTCCCGGATACTCTCCATAAAGGGAATTTATTTACATCTTTTCATAGGAAAGCTCTAGCTTCATTTGTGATCACTTTTAACTAATAATGTTTCATATGTGCTGAGATTGTAAATTAATATGAATATTTATTAAAAGCTTCACTTATTAGTTATAATTAGCACGTACAAAAATTTGCTATGTACCTACTTATTTTAATATTTACTTTGGACTATATTTCTAATGGTTCTATCTAAATAAATCCTTAGTTGAAAAGAAGCATAAGAGGAACCGAAGTTAAAATAGGGTTGGATTAACTTTAATATGATAATGTGTGCTAATATTAGAAACTAAATTTCTTATTATAGTTCTAAGTGTACCTTTAACAGTTTTCAAGAGAAGAGGGTAAGTAGGAAAGCTTTTAAATTTGTAATTAGAATCCTGACAAAAATTGAAGGATCTAGATTTAAACAGAGAGTTAAATAAGGAAATTTCTTGTTAGTAGCAATAGAAAGACAGGAAATATGGTCAACTCAATAATATAAATGTGATAAAAATGTATTTGTTCAATCAAACTTAGGATAAATTAATGTATGGTCAATACCCAATTGCATAAGGAGATAAATAATGTTTGGTGTCATTCATAGTCCCTTTCAGTTGGGCATTTTGCTTATTAAACAAAAATCCATTCATATTCATTCATCAATCCAGTTATTTTTGATGGTAGTTTTTATTATTTTCAAAGAGTTTCCTCTCTAAAGTATATTCTCCCTAACATCTCTCATTCTGATTTAAGTTTGGGAAATGGGGAGAATGCCTCAGAAGTACCTGTGATCATGTAGCTATTTCATGGCAGCAATGAGAATAGTCCTGCTCAACCTATATTTAGTTCAGTTCAATCAAGCTACACATGATGTGCCCACTGATTTTAAAGATAGATATTGAAGTGACATGGTACATGCTAGAGGGGCAGAACTACCAGAGTATTAGCTATATTCCAAGAGAAACCAAAATATTCGAAGTGTTACCTCTATTCTTTACTACTTCCGCTTCCCCTATGGTGCGTAGGAGCATAGACAAAATTTTAAATAAAAAATATATAAATTTGGATCTTAAAATCTGTGAATTTACATACAACTCCAACCCTCCACACCAGCTCACTTCAACTCTGTGCTTGAGGGAAAAGGAGAAAGTTGAGAAAACAAGTGTTTCAAGACGGAAGAGGGAGATGGGCGGACTCTGGGAAAGAGGTAGGGTGTACCATGTGCTAGTGTATGCATGTACGTCTATATGTTATTAAAGAGGGCGAGGGGCTTGCCACGTAAGTGAAGGCGTCATCGAGAAGGCTTGTCCGAAATGCAGAGATGAAGGAAGAAGTATGATGATATTAAGGATAAAATAAGGATAGCTCTGATAGCATTTCTTATCCTTCTCAGTTGCCTACCCTGGCCAGAACAAGAAGAGTAATCTTTGAGCATTGTTATGTATCACATAGAAACCTGTCAGTAACTTACATTGACCTTGCTAGCTTCTTTCCTGGGTGTCTTTGCTCCTGGGTTGGGTTACCAGAGAATTAATGACAAGAACAGTGGAGATGCCAGCACTTGGCATAATACCGAGTACATGCTAAGTGAATATTTGATTAATAAACATGTTATTGACTGCTAACAGGACAGATGGTTTTCTATTCTTCAATCTAAGTGATTGATGATGGTGTTATTCTCCTACACATACACACATACAACTTGATGTATATATTTAAATAAGCAGGTAGATTTGGTTAGCGATGTTTTAAAATTTAGTACTTTTAAACCTGTACTCGAAAGCAAAAGGAACCTTTTCAAATATATATACTGTCTTTACCTAGTTTTTAAATCGAGATTGTACCAGTCTCATGAAATGAGTTTGGCAGCTTTTCTGCTTATATTTTCAGCACTAGATTATTTACTTAGAATTGATTGCTTGTTGAAAGTTTGTTTTTTTAAAAAAAAAGCGCTACCTATAAAGTTTTCTGGGCCTGGGCCTTGGGGTGGGGGACAGGGTAGGGAGGATTAGAGCTCAAAAGCTGCGAGTTCACCTGGAATAGATATTATCAATTCCTTACCCCAAACAGGCTCTGCCAACACTATGATACTGCCCCCCATCCACCTCTGTACTGCTATGCTCGTGCACAGGTTTCTCTGACTTGCAATAATAATATTAACTACTGGCATATAGTAATCTTCCCAGCTTGCAACAGGAGAAGATAATTTAACTAAGAAGCTGGCTTTCAACATATATCCCAAAAGTGGAACCCTACTCCCAGACTGCCATTTTCCTACCATACCAGGTCATTACTATCTTCTACCGATAGAAGTAGAAGATACTTTGTTTTATTCTTACAAATCCAGCATTGACTCTGGGAGAAAGCTGGTAATCTATACTCGTTTTATCTTGTTCTGCAGCAGCAATTTATTTTACATGAATAATGTTTACACAAATTACAAACTCACCGTGTATCAGGCCCTTTAAAATCTATTTCCTTCTGTAATTGTCACAATTGTACTATGAATTTGGCAATATTATTCCTGTATTTTTAAGGTAAAGAAATGAGACTTTTTACTATATCTTATTTTTAAGATAAGGAATTGGATTTTAAGTAACTCACCCAAGTTAGCATGAATAATAAATATTATAGCAGAGGTAAAACCATACCTGTCCTAAATCCAGAAAATTCTAGTATGATCAATTTCATAAATAGCCCAAGTACAGACATAAAGTATGATTGTAATTGTGTTGCCTGTGAATTATTTGTAAATGTAATGGGCTTATATCACTTGAGATGGTCTATACTCAGGGATATAGATGCCAATCTAATAAAATTTGCTCTTTCAGTTATCAGGATAATTACTGGTGTTCACGCCTCTCTCGATGGACACAGGTATAACAGTTTTGCTATTTTCTCCTGAGTTTCTTTCTTCTTCTTCTTCTTCTCGCCTCTTCCTTCTTTCTGCTTCTTCTTCTTCTTCATGCCTTCTTTCTTCTCTCCTCCTCGCTCCTACCTCCGCCTCTTCCTTCTCCTCTGTCGGATAACATTTAAAATACGGCTTGCCATATAGCTGCGGGCGGAAAATTCGTTTCCATTCTCTGTCCAATAAGACGCGCCTCCATCTTACATAATCTTATCTCTACTATAATGGACTTTTTCTCTCTCTCCTCCTTACTGTGTACCCTCTCTCTCTTCCTCGTACATTTCTCTATCTTGACTACTGCATGTACAATCTATAGTGTAATACAATGGCTTTTTCATTTAATGCCCTCACGGTAAACAACTCGTTCTTACATCTCTCTGTAGCTTTTGCGCTCCTCTCCTGCCTCCTTTTTCCTCCTTCTAACTCTAATGCATGAACCTATGCGTCCTGTATTTATTAGCGCTGCGGAGCAAAACAATGTGTTTTTGCCATTAAAAGGTAAAGGCCCGCATAGGGCCCA